AGTGACAAAGACAGAAATATCGTTGCGTACAGCGTTGCCACTAGTTGTAATAAATATCTAACACTATACAGAAAATAATGAATTTTAACTGATCAGTAATCAGGAAATGTATAAGTATTACTCATTACAAGCTCATTACTGATTTTTGTCATAAATAATACCTTTTAATCGTACTAGTATTGTGTATTATCTATAATTTGCCACAACCTACAACTCTACTGCTTACTATATTTTGATTCTGTTATAAACTGGTAACGTAAAATTTAGATATGGCATCGCGCTTTACTCTCAATCATTATTGGTTTTACTAGGTTTTACTAGGTTTTACTAGGTTTTACAAGGAATATATTCACTCCAATTCATAAGATGACTTCTAAAATGGTACAAACTGAAAGAAACTTTTTTTCAATAAGATATTAAAATTAAGCACCATTTTAGTGCGAAAGTTGTTAAAGTTATTCATCAATAAATCAATATATTCATTTATCAAGTGCAGAAATAACTGAAAATCAACAGGTCGCAGTTGTGACCTTGCAGTGAAATCATCAATAAAAATTCCAATACGCAAAAATTACAACGTTCAAAATATCTACCTTGCAGTAACTTTATCTGAGCCAAAACCTCAAACTCCTTTCGTCTCTTATCGAAATTGATTAGACCATCTCCTATTGTGTCAGGTATGGCTGTATCAATCATCGTAAGATCAGTCAAGAAGGTTCCTAGGTAAGGTATGGTGCCGAAAAAAATGTTGGCCGTGTGATGATTCTGTTTTTGAAAAACTTTCTGCAAGTGTTTGTCGTTTTCTCCGAAAGTGTCTGCAAATTTGGCGGTGCCCTCTCTCATCAACAACTCCCTCTGTATCATTTGGTTGTTGTCTTCACTGAAAATCCTTGCCAGTTCGGTGAACATTTCGATTTTTTCCTTTGGAATCGCCTGCCAGGTTTTCTGCAGCCTGAAATAATTCAAACCATTGCTTATCTACGAAAATATCGATCAATCGCAGATAATGAAAACTTGAATTACTAGAGATACTAAACTTGAAAAAAAATAACGAACCTGTATATAGGATTGCTTTGCAAACCACTGATGATAGCCTTGAGACTGGAAAAGTTCTTAATCAAGCGGAGTTCCTGTGCTATATCAATCCATGTAGATATTATTGCTGCTCTATCACTAGATTTGAGCCCAGGTTCGACTAGAATGGATGATATAACTCGAAAAGATACCGCATTGAATTGATTCACAGTGGCTAGTACGGTGGCTGCATCATGCGATCTGCTCTTGTCCCTTCTTGACCAGACAGCACCTAGGCATTGATGTGGAACCAGCTTTTTGAACAAATCCTAGAAACAAGTTATTATATCAAAGAACAGTTATTGTTGAACGTTGAATTCTGGTGGGAACTACGGTTATGGCTAGATATCCATGTTTTATAATGGAGAAACTGACTCTGAATAATAACAATCATAATAATAATAGCCATTTATATGACACTACAAAATTATATTCGCAATGCTAAAATTTAAACAAAGAGAAATGAATGAAGAAAAAAATAATTCTTATTACCTAAATTGAGTACATGTCTCTAGCACTAATAAGATTATGAAGGTTTGTGGACAATACAGTGCATTTCTTTGATGTCCCTCCTTTTATTTCATGAACGGGTCAACTCAAAAAATTGAAATTTGGGATAATGAAATTAATGCATGAATATTTTCTTTTGAAGTTGAATTGACAGATGAAACTTTCAAGATGGCGACTGGGCGCCATCTTGAATTCTGCAAAATCATGACGGAAACCATTGCAAGGCGTCCTACCTATCTCCACAATATTTGTTTTATTAACGAATGTACATTTTTTTTAAACGGCAATGTTCACAGACGAAATTAACGTTATTGGAGTGACACCAACCCTCACGTTTTCCAGGAAACACATACCCAATATCCAGAAAAAATTAACGTTTGGTCAGAAATATTTTGAAACTATATTGTAAAACCTCTATTTATTAATCAAAATTCAACAGGGGAAGTGTATTTTGAATATGCCGGAAACTAGCGTTGACCCTCTCATCACTGAAATCGTCGAAGCGAATCCTAATGAATTCGATATGGATATTGTATTCCAACAAGATGGAGCACCACCACATTACTCCAAACAAGTAAAGAACTATTTGGATACTACTTTTTCTGGTCGTTGGATTGGCCATCGAGGTCTTACAGATTGGCCAGCCCGCTCGCCAAATTTGACACCATTGGACTTTTTTTATGGGGCTATTTGAAGCAAAAGGTGTACGAAACTGAACCTGCTTCAATACTGGATATACGCTTATACATGTCATACTATCAAGTCTGATATCTGTAAATGTTCCAGAATCAGACTTGTGCTAATACCCCTGCACAATCTTTTAATAAAAATGTAGGAGTCATATCTGGACCATTTTGTCCTTTAGTTTTTTTATTACAGATATAACCTCATTTTCTTGAATGGGATGAAAGTGAATATCAATATTAATGTCGACTTTACAAACTTTATTCAAAAGTGAGCTGGATTTTGAATACACCTCACAAAAAATTACTGAAGTCATCGACAAAGCCCTGAGGATTCCTAGGCAGCTTACTGATCCTGGTATTCTTGTGCTGTTATTCTCAGAGTGAACATATGACCAGAATATTCTAGGAGCCTTAGACTACATATTTTGTATGTGAACAAGATAGTTATCATAGGCAGTTTTTATTTGGCTTTTAGTCAAAGTACCTACGCAAACATTGGAATTCAATTCTATCCTCATCACGACTAAATTTCCTAATTTTTTTTCCAGAATTTAGCCTTTTATTTGATGTTTTTTGTGCCTTAACAAGACTCTAAACTCAGAAGGTAGCAACCATTCAACTTCTGGTCGTGAAAGTCGACACTGAAATTCCGGTGATGAAAAATCTGAAGCTTGATAAACATGATGACACTGTTCATTCGTTCACTTACCACATCCATTCTGGTGAGTTGTTCTGCAAAGTGACGTACAGGTACATCGGGTAAATTATACACTCTCCAACCTGCCGCTACAGATCTCATCGCGAAAGCAGGAGGTGGTGCTAAGAGCGGATCTATGTATGCTTCTCTGGTATATCTGGAAAAAATTTAAGTTCGTTGAACGATTCAAAAACTTCAATCATAAACTGAAAGTTCATAACATCATATATTGATACCGAAATACGAGTGGTACTATTTATATTTCGGGAATAGCAAACATTTTTTAATGAAAATGGCTGTATTAATTTTCCATGTATTATTTTTATCAACTTGTAATCCCAGAAATTTTGCTGATATTTTGTTTTCTATTAATTGAGTACCTAGATAGATATCTAGTGTGGAGCACTTGATGGTGATGATGCTAGTTTTTGAGATATTGAATGACAAGAGATTAGAATCACTTCTTGCAATGCCAAAATGATGTAGTGTCATCAGCGATTTGGGTTATTTCTGCGGTTATATTAATGCGGGCTAGATCGTTAATATATAACAAGAAGAGAATTGGACCTACAACCGATCCTTGTGGAACACCACAAGTAACTGTCTGGAGATGGGATATGTTGTCCGGGAGTTTGACTTTCTGAGTACGTTTTGACAGGTATGATCTGAACCATTTCAAAGATATATCTCTAAAACCATACACTTCTAGTTTTCTCAGCAGAATTTCATGATCCACGCAATCGAAAGCTTTTGAAAGATCGCAAAAAACTGCCGCTGCTACTTCACGATTATTTAAATTGAGATAAACGTTTTCCAGTAGATGAAACATAGCATCTTCCGTGTTTTTCAAACTCTGAAACCCAAACTGACTGCTACTAATAATATAGAGATTAAAATCACTTCTTGCAATGCCAAAATGATGTAGTGTCATCAGCGATTTGGGTTATTTCTGCGGTTATATTAATGCGGGCTAGATCGTTAATATATACCAAGAAGAGAATTGGACCTAGAACCGATCCTTGTGGAACACCACAAGTAACTGTCTGGAGATGGGATATGTTGTCCGGGAGTTTGTCTTTCTGAGTACGTTCTGACAGGTATGATCTGAACCATTTCAAAGATATATCTCTAAAACCATACACTTCTAGTTTTCGCAGCAGAATTTCATGATCCACGCAATCCAAAGCTTTTGAAAGATCGCAAAAAACTGCCGCTGCTACTTCACGATTATTTAAATTGAGATAAACGTTTTTCAGTAGATGAAACATAGCATCTTCCGTGTTTTTCAAACTCTGAAACCCAAACTGACTGCTATTAATAATATTATGCTTATTCACAAACATCATTATTAATTGATTAACAAGTTTTTCTATGATTTTAGCAAGGGTAGGTAGCAAAGAAATAGGCTAAAATCGGCAGGATTGTTAGAGTCGCCTCCTTTGTGCAAACGAATAACACCTCCAAAACATGGTTATAGAACGCTTCAACTGCTTCTTTGGCACTCTTGAATCATTGACCACGCAGTTTACCTTTGATATTCAGGAACAAGAAGTAGTCAATGGGTGTCAAATCAGGACCGTACGGAGGATGAATCATCAATTCGATGTTTTGACTGCACAAAAATTCACCTGTTTGACGAGATGTGTGAGAGCTCGCATTGTCGTGATGGAGAATGATTCGTCTATGATTGAATATACTGTGGTTTTTGATGGTACTTTATCGCCATACAAAGAACTGAGTTCATCGAAACATTCTTGTTGAGATAATGTACATCGAAAGTTGAGACAAATAATCTAACGAAAAAATTCTCTTGAAATTTCCATTTTTTGGTCAAATTGTTCTTTATAACTCACTGTAAACCAAACAAAAACTGCTTGCACATCAATGGGGAACGTTCCTCAATCAGGGTTATTCCAGCAAATGCAAGTTTGAACAAAATAAAGTTGAGTTCAATTCATGAGTTTTTCAAATTCACTTCGAAAAGTATTCAAATTGATGTTTCAAATGTTGGGTTTTAATTTTTAAAGGGATTTGTNCCATTGCAGAAATCATTATTAATTTGTTTAGGGTTTATTAATTTTTTTAGCGTTTTCCACTTTAACGTGGATTATGCATATTTCTGTCAATTTGGTTATAATAATAACAATTTTTTTCTCTTTTATCAAATTAACTACAGCGTTACGTTTTTGTTTATATTTTTTCCAGTTGGTTGTATTAATGTAATTGTATTAATGTAATTAATGGTTGTATATATGCACGATCTCTTTCTCTGCTTAATTTTTTTATATTATCCTCATACCAAGGTAGGTCGTTTACGCCATATAGGTATTATTGTTTTCACGTGTGCAATCTTATTAACAATTTTGCCTATAATGTCCTTAATATTGTTGTAAATGTCGTTAAGGTCTATACTATTCAGTAGGAATGGACTATTAATTAAATTTAAATTTATGGTAGGTATGCAGGTTTTCATCAGTTAACTTTCTAATCATTTTAGTGCACCTCCCTGATGTATAAGGTCTCACATTTTGAAAACATTTAACAGTTATTATGGAGTGATCAGTGATCTTGGGCTCATCCAATATACTTCCAAATTATCCTGATTTATCAATACATAGTCTATTAAACTATCTATTATCTATTACTGGTGTTAGTTATTCTAGTATATGTTTTCACATTTTGATGTATACAATAATGAAATTGCTGAATGGAAACGCACTTTGGATGCCATGTTAATTTTATATGAAAATAAGACGGCACCAATATAATGAGGTGAAAAAAGAATATGATAATCGCTTGAGAAAATTTAAAGAAGATGAATATTTGAACAGAATAAAGACTTTTGATAATAAAAATAAATGTATGTGGGCAATATGCTCAGAATTAACAGGAAGAGAAAAAAACCCGAATATTAACTACAAGGGGATCCAGAAAAAATTGTGAATGACTATAACAAATACTTGATTAAAATTGTTCCAGAATTAATATCAAACCTTCCAAATATTCCTTTCGAATGTTCAATAAAATATAATTTTGAGTCAATGTTAGCAAAGCCAATATCTCCTCAAGAGGTAATAGAACTATCACATAAAGTTAAAAATAAGCACTCTAGTGGGTACGATGAAATTTCCACTTCTTTGATGAAAAGAAGTATACTGAGCATAAGTGAAATTATATCATATATCATAAATATCTCCATGAAATTTGGCGTCTTTCCTTCCAGACTGAAACTATCCTTAGTGAAATCTATTTATAAAAAGGGGGATTCTGAACTTATGGAAAACCATCGACCTATAAATATTCTACCAAGTTTTGCAAAATTATTTGAGCTAGCTATGTGTAATAACATTACAAATTCTCTATATAAATGTAATATAATTAGCAATAACCAACACAGATACTTACGAGAGTGATCAACAAACATTGCAATATTTCAATTTACTCCAAATATAACAAACTTAATAGAAAGAAAATACTTAGCACTTGGTATGTTCTTAGATCTGTCAAAGGCATTTGACTGCTTAAATCACGAGATACTTATAAAAAAACTAGAACTATATGGTATAAGAGGAAACTCACTGAAATGGATTGAATCTTACCTAACAGATCGCCAACAAATAGTAACTATTAACAAACATGGTCGAACATACAAATCTGAGAATGCGGCAGTGAAAGTAGGAATACCCCAAGGAAGCATTGCGGGCCCCTTGTTATTTATTATCTACATAAACGATTTATGTTATCATTCAAGTACACAATTCAATTACAGTCTTTGCTGATGACACTAATTTATTAATAGGCCGTGGAACATACCCTGAAGTAGTAAAAACAAGTATGGAAACGTTTAATGATACAAAGGAATGGTTCACTAGGAATTGGTTGATTTTGAATGAATCTAAAACTAATCTTATACTTTTTAGAACTAATCAATTACGTATAGAACGACCTCAAACTTTGAATATTGAAAACATAAGTATAAAATATTCAGAAGACACCAAATTTCTAGGACTTCATATTGATGAATTCTTGAAATGGAACAAACAGATTGATTATACAGCTAACAAATTGAGCAAAATTTCGTATTTGAAATCACTCGAGCATTCCTGCAAAATATTTCTTCACATATTATCTCCATTTGATCAAGAAAAGCTGCATGACTTCTACTGGGTTAATAATATAAACTTCCTATTATCCATTTCGTGCTGCCGCTGGTTACAGATATTAATTTACACCAATAATTTCCATTTTGCACATAGGTTTTACCGTTTGTAAATTTAATATCTTTTCTAATATACATAATTACACCTCCTGTGTGTCTTGAGTTGGAGTCGCATCTTATAGTTGAATAGCCTGATATTTCAAGTTCAAGGTTATTTATTTCGCTTGTGGTTCGGGCTTCACTAAGTAAAATAATGGCAGGATGGTAACAAACAATGTCAGCTATCAATTGAGTTTTATGAGCTAACAAACTTTCTATATTTAAATAAACAATATCTACATTGAACTCAATTGACGTAAATTCTCTCTTATCTGTTGTATGATTCAGTTTTTTGTATCGTGACCACTCACCATACAAACTAATCGGCTTCGTTAAAAAGCTGGGTTTATTTGGTCGAGTGTGAATTGTTGTGAGCCACAGGTAACCCTTGCGGGTTGCGGTGGATGGTCGAATATACCAACTCACTTTGGACCTAACCTAACCATGTTCAGCCCTACAGATTGTCATAAACAGTTCAATTTTAGTTATATGCTTATATACTCTCCATGTTCAGTGATACTCTCCATGTTTGGTGTTTTATTTGTAGATGTTTTTTCCGAATAAATTGTCCTATAACTTTGTAAGTTCCACAGGATTAAATGAATGATAGATTGAATGTTTGAAAGTGGTTGACAGTGATTGTGGATACTAACAATCAAAACGTCGTGAAGTAACTTGGTTTGAAATATTTTTTAATTTTGTATTTCCATTTTCAATCATTCAATTTTTAATTTCAAGTATTTGCTTATTTTTATTTTATTGTAATTTCATTTCACACTTTATTGCTTAATATAATTGATATTTTTTGGCTATTCATTTTACTTTTATTTGTACTTTCAGATATTTCAAATCATATTATGATCAATAGACAATGGAAGTCCGAAGTAATAAAATTCACCATGAAACCATGTCAACCACTTTCAAACAAACGTTGAACACCCGGTACAGCGACTTATTTCGAGGATATAAGAAGACTATGATCAAGCTCACCAAGGAAAACCCTCATCCCTTTGCCAAAATTGAAAGCACATGCTTAAAGATCTGCCAAGACATGGAGAATACCCACAACAGGAAGTGGCGACATTTGGTGAGGAAACAATGCCCAAATGCAGACCGAAAACAGTACAACTACGAAGCCGCCAACGTCACCAACATGAGTTCCCACCTGCTTACGACCATACAGGAATCCTTGTTACGGAAAGATCTAAACTTCGCCATTGCGCCAACATCTGTGCCCACTTTGGAGATAATTACTGCAGTGGAATCCACCAGTTCCCTTATTTGTCAGACCGAGGCAGCAGAATTTAGATGGGAAATCAGAGAACATCTGGATCGAGAACCAGTTCCAACGTCTAACATCAGGGATGAAGAACGAAGAGCTCCGTGAACGGCCTGAGAAGAGACAACACCATAAAGTCATTGAATCTCAAAGGGACTGTAAATTACTCCTAAAAGGTTTTGACTGTTTAGCTTCTTGGTTTAAATCTGTTTAAAATCTGTTTTTCTGTTAATCAGCTGTCGCCCCCATACGAACGACAACTCTCAGAAGTTGAGAAACTTGTGCGAGCTAAGGACTAACGAGGTCTTACCTTCTAACGTGTGATTCCTAACACGGTGTAAAAGTTAAACAAATAAATAACCCCTAAATATACATAAATGTCATTAAACTAAGAATCAAAAAATCGTGAAGTAACTTGGTTTAAATCTTTATAATTATGAATTTTATTTTCAATTGTCCAAATTTTGAATTCAATCTTTTGCTCATTTTTATTTAATTGTAAATTCATTTAACGTTTTATTGCTTGATAGAATTGATATTTTTAGAGATCCATTTTAATTTTATTTGTTCTTTCAGAGATTTCAATTTCAAAATATTTTCAACTGAAAATAAAGACACTCACAAAGTAATTAATTTATTCAAGGAATTTGACATGATAAACCACATTGACAAACCAACTGCCATTTCTACGACTGTTTCAACTGGTATAGATGTAATGTTCTCTAATCTATCCATTATGTCAAAGAATATTCAACATTCATACTTATCAGACCATACATTTCAGACTTGGGAATTTCTAGATTATGAGA